ATATATATATATATACTGTATATATATCTATCATTGTAGTAATTTAGCAATTTAATAAATTCACTGAATGCAGACAGTGTGTCTGACCCTTCAAATGAAACCACACTATTTCACAAAGAGAGAGACAAATGTCTATGGTTCAATAGCTAGATAAAGATGACTAAATTCAGACCAGGTGTGAATGATCACCTAGAGGGCACCGTATAGTCTTTGTACAGTATGTCTATATCTGTGTGTGTGTGTGTGTGTGTGTGTGTGTGTGTGTGTGCATCTCCTGGAGAGCACAGGCAGTGAGTGAACTCCTAAATCACACTATTGATCAGTCATTCCTCCCAGACACGCACTGGGATCAAGGGCAGTTAAATGGCCTCTTCGGTGATTCACACTAAATCCCTTCAACTTCCTCCTCACCTCCATTATTCTCTCATCTCCTCCTCCTGGTCCACTTTTCCTCTTCTCACCTTTGTCTCATCATGGCCAATTTACACCACAACCCCTCTAATGACTGCTGCCTTACTCTTTTACAGGTGGTCTCTTGGTTTTCCTTAATCTCACGACAGTTCACACGAAAGCCACGTCAAGTTGAAAAAGCAAACACTCCATTGAGACGAGCGCAAACTTTATCTTTCCTGGGCCAATCTGAAATAAAGGAACACTTCACCTATCTGTTCTCCCATAGGTTGACATACTTATAGTACTAGAATGTACCATTACCTTTGTCAACAGACTAAATCTCATGGGAAAGCTCTATTTATCCCCACAAACACAAACCCATGCGCGATAATGTGCTTTTGAGCCTGATGATGTGATTTTGAGCAAGAAAGGCTTATTTTGGTATGAAGGCCTCTCGTCATTATTTTAACCAGACAGAACTGTGAGACTTTGAAACTACAGAAACTTAAAAGTTAAACTTTTTTTATTAAACACATATTTTCTTGCTTTTGCTTGCCCTGAGACTGCAGCTGTAGGTTTTGGTGTGCTATTGGCGAATGTTGTTTGCTGTGGATAAGCCAGTCACTATACAAACAGTAAATTGACATAAGATTGAACATTAGTGAAGCAGTCCTTTTTAAACAGAGATGTACGTGCATGTGATTGATATTACAAGCCCTCATTTTTGGGACACGTTCACAGTGAGAACCGCAATCACTTCTCCACGTTGCACAGGAAATGAGTGCATATATAAACGCACTAGCAATTTACTTCCATATTAAGCCGAGGCACATCCAAGCATGTTGTTTGCAAAAAGGATAGGTGAAATGGAAGATAAATAAAAGGGTATGTTGATTAATCATTATCGGCTAAGCAATCATTCTACTCATCTCAAACCTTTTTAACAGCTGTGCTGAGCACAACAGCACATGATAGAAATGGCTCACCTTGACAGGCTGAGCCAAGAGGCACTTAGAGGAGACTTTAACCGGGCCACATTCTTCAGGCAAAAATGAACTCCATTCTCCAAAAAATGTAAAGTGATCATTCGATTATGTTTTATGAAACGGGTGAGCTCTTATGCACACTTCCATGACACACATCCATTATTTAAGAGTCCAAATCATAGCTTTACAGAGTCACGTGTTTCTGATAACTAATTCTAATCTAAAGTAGAAGTGCAATGACAAGATTCAATGAACAAAATAAACTTTCATGTCCTGATTATGTGTGCACTTGTGCCATCCCAGATGCGCATAAACAAGACTATGTCACATCAATAAAGAAATCTGTCTATTCTCCTGCCAGTCCTGGCTCTGGCGTAGAGAGGACATCTTGTGGAATTAGGGTTGTTTAATGTGCATCTGTTTAGTTCAAACAGTACCATCCTTTGCTTTTGTTATACAGTTAAGTGCTGAAGTTGTCATTCTGATGCTGAAGCAATCAAGTTATCTTTACCTGGGTTTTGGTTGTAATGTTGGCATTTCGCTGCTTTAATAAGGAGATGAAGAGAAGGTTTTATTTATATACAGTATGGGCACCCTGGCTTCATTTGGATTACAGTTGTTTTTCTTTCACATTACTACCCATTTGCAGCAATTACAATATATTGGGTAGATTGTTGCGATGACCCCATTGTATGTATGATGACTGTTATTGCATTGGGAATTTCCATGGTCCTCCAGACTCAAAATACACCTCTCCTATTACACATGGAACATGCATATTGTTACGCCACCTCTCCCAGCCTTGCATGATGCGAGGGCGCAGTGGATAAAAATACCAAATGAACGGACGAGAGAATTTCTAAAAAAATGCTGTAAACCTTACTGCACCCTTCACGAACCGTCAACAATACAGCCCTACTTTTAAAGAGTGTCTCACCTTTTAGTTTTTAAAGTGCATTAATATCAACACGAATCCCTTCTGGATACTTCTGCCTTTTCAATGACCTGCCAATAAAACCCTCTGTCGAAACCAGGAACACTGCAATTACCTGGCTACAAAGGGGCCACATAGGGCTGGACATAGGCCTGGCAGGTTACTGGCAGACACCTCATTACTGCAGCAGACTTCAACAATAGGCCTGAGCATCGCTTCTTCTACATCTGTCTCTCAAGTGTGCTATTAGCCTGTCAAATGGGGACAGTCAGCACCATTAGGCCACCCTGATAATCAGACCTATTTACCCCCTCATTTTCCTCTCCTTCACTGTCGCAGTCTGGTCAAAGAAAAAAAAAAAAATAAGCGGTCCCTTACTCCATCCTGCCCCCCTCCCCACTGACTCATTCTCAGACAAAGACTAGTTGAGTTGGTCATTACATTTTTCTGAGAGTCATCGTAATCAAATACGGTATGCCCTCTCCACCAACTGGGCCAGATTTAATTTCAAATGTACTCCTATACAAAAGGGACCTGGATAAAGCAATTCCAATTTCACTGGTCTTTGGGATAAATGTGAAGTAAGCTCATTCCACAATTAACGTAGAAATGTGCATCAATAATTCTGAATTCATTTGTCATTAGGTATTTTGTCATTAGGTTGGACTGCGTAGATAATACAAGACAGAAAATCATAAGTGCATGGCCAACAAAAGGTGAACTTAACCAACAACCTTTTTTTTTTCACTGGGGATGCACTGCTATTGATACCGGGACGATACTGACTCCAGAAATTGGACTGGATATCAGTTGGGATAATGGGACTGATCTATTCATTTCAATTATATGTTTGTATGCAATATATATTAAATACTGGAATTTGAATTCCTGTTTAAGTTTTGACAAATTTATGTCTATGTATTTATTTGTTACATTTTGATTTACAAAGTGAGCAAAGCAATAAGTCAAGACTGATGTTTCCTTACAGGAAAAAAAAATGGTCCCAGTCACTTCCACACAGTGAGGCACACAGCTTCTTAATTAAACACTGGTATCGGATCGGTACCCGGTATTGGCCGATACCCTAAACCCAGGTATTGGTATCAGGACTGGAAAAGTCAGATTGGTGCATCCCTATTTTTCACCACACTGTAACTCCACTTCATGTCTGTTATTAGGTCCCACAAGCTTACGCTGTGACTTTCACGGTCCGCCACATCCACAGAAGCACAGAAAAACGAAGAGATGTTTCACGTGGGCAATACTTGTCCCCTGATAGGTGCCTCTATGTGCAAGTCAAAGCTCTACAAGAGCATGAAAAATACTGTAGCAAAAAGGACCGGCAAAGACAATATCTTCGACCTGTCATTTCCATCGGATGGGCTCAGGTCCCATCGGGCGCAGTTAGTGGATGAACACACACAAACATTCAGAGAGACAGGCAGGGAGAAAGAGAGAGAAAGATAAGAGGATGAAGTTCATTTTCATTGGCTAAGCTCAGAGCCGTCACAGGCAAAGTCAGAGGATGCACACACATGTACACAAACACAAACATACAGGGAGACAGGCAAGGAGAGAGAGCAGGACTGAAGACAACTTCAGCCTGAAAACAACAGCCTCTGTCTTGGTTCGGCCTCTTTCAGTGCAGTCTGACATTAAAGTATTGAACAGTGAACAGAGTGCAAGCAGGATAGCTGTTATACAACACCAAAGGTGAAACTTGTAGTTCAACACGTCTGTGTGTTGCCTGCTAAGCTTAGAAAAGTGCAAAAAGAAATGATGGCTTTTGAGATCCCGCCTTATGCTGAAATTTATGAAAGGGGCAGAATTAAATAAGATTAATTCTCTTGTTGTTTCTGTTAATTCAGACTGCACCGTCGGTGTATAAATCTGCAGATTTACAGACAGGTTTCAACTGGGGTGTAGCCTTGCGTGGAGAGAGAAGTACTGACTTGCTGTGCGGCATTGCTCTCAAAACAAAGGCTCATTAAAGAAATACCACAGAAAAACAACAAAAAGACGTGTCAGTCAGTGAAGCAGCAGCCTGCAACCTCCAGATGTGAACTTCAAAGCATTTAAGGGGTTTCATTAATGACTCATGCGTTGTTTTTTGAAGGATGATTACTTTCAGCGGTGTTAAAAAGCAAGAATTTCTGGAATGCCCAAAGATAAAGGCAAACTGGGGCTATTTACATCAGCGGATTTGATGTGTAAATAAACTACAAAGGAAAGAGGGATGGTGCAGTAAATTGCGCTTGTCCTGGAAAATGTAACATATTGTGTCTTGGGTCTGAGTCTGAACTCCTCCATCATGTTTTCAAAAGGGAAAGCCATTACTGTGATTCAGGGAAGGAAGGCCGAGAAAGAGAGCATGTATGACTTTCACTAAACCAGCTGGCCCCACGCTTCAAGCCTTGAAGTCGCTATCCACGGTGGAGCGACGAGAAATCTTAGCGGCCAGGTCGGCTATGCCGTGGATTAAGACTGTGAAGTTTTAATTGTGCAAGATGATGATCTTTTATAGTGAAATGATTCACATGTAATGCTTCTACTACTAATACTATTAATAATAATAATAATAATAACGTGGCAAATTTGCCATTTGAAATGGATAACAAAAGATAGTCGTCATCCTCATCAATACCACCGCCCCATCATCCCGAGACGTAGCCGAAGCAGCCACTTACCAGCCTGGTTGGTGGTGATGTCTATGGAGACATGCTGGGCAGGGTACGGGCTCTTATTGCTCACTCCATTGACAGCTTGTATTTCAAAGCTATAGAGAGTGTGAGCCCACAGGTTGCTGATGAACACCCTGGTGTCAGTCAGACCCAGCTGTCGAGGGACGAAGTCCACATTGTCGTCGCAGTGGGAGCAGGAGCGCCGGTCAGCCCGGCACTTTTTGCACACTATGTTGTAGACGACGTCATCGCGGCCACCCGTCTCCCTGGGAGAGTGCCACTCCAGGATCACGGACGTTTCGTTCACAATGGAGATCACATTCCTCGGGCTGGATGGGACACCTGAAGGCACACAGAGAAAAGATGTAATACAAATGTTATTTTGGCTCGGATCATTGACTTTTAAAGCTGGATCCAGTTCATATCAGACAAATCGTAAGGTAAGCTGTCATGATGCTATAAGCAAAATAACGCATTGCTTGTAAATTATGCCTGCTGTTAAGTCAATTTAGTTAATTTACAACCTTGTAATAAAGTGTTGTTGTGAAGAGCAACTTGTCGTTTTCTCCTTTTTTCTCCATCTTCAGCACAATTGGAATGCTAATTTATTCCATTCACACCCAGCGAGATCATACAGCGAAAAGTTTGTGTCTATCAAACATTGGTTATTTAGCTAAATGCAGTGTTGCATGGAGTATTCTTATCCAAGTGGCTCTGGAGATTCACGCTCCCATTCACTCCCTCATAGCCCACAGCTGGAGCAGAACCTCAAAGACGATATTCAGAAAGAAATCAAGAAATAATAAAGTAATTGTTTTGCCTGAGTGGTGGCTTAATATTAGGTTGTAGAAAAGTGGCTTGTTCAGCCTCCCGCATTTGGAGCACGATTCCTAAGAGTTAAAATCTGCTCTAACGGCAGTGTATAATTTTGCTCAGCCGAGACTGTGTCCGTGCAGCTGCTCAGAGGCAGCTCTTTCTTGTCAGACACCAGACACTGCCGATAAAGCAGAAGCTCACCAAAGCCCTTAGTCAGTGCTGCTTGGGTTAAAGTGTGGCTGCCCTGCAGAGCTGATCTGGTTCCAATTCATCCTCCATAAAGCCTGACCTTTATCATTGAAAGAGGAGTTTAACTGACCCACTTCTAAAACCATGACTACTGTGGAAATAAAAATCCGCTCAATTCTAGAAACCCTTTGAAGAATTACTCAGCTCTCTAACACACTCTACTTCCTTTCCTCTTCTCTTTTTACCCATGAGAAAAATATGACAACAAGCATGCATGTAGACTTTTAAACATGTTATGACACAGCACTTGAGTTTCCCATTACCGTGGGCTTAGGGCAGATAGTTACTTCAGTCAACACAGACACAATTAATCATTGTTGCAGCGAAGCCATGTGGGATAGCCCTGGGGAGCTGGGACAAAGCGGCAGAAAACACAAGGGTGAGGGAAAGGCACTGCTACTGCAGCGACCTCGGCTTGGTGCCTCAACAACAGAGAGGTCAGTGAAAGGAAGGGCGTGACCCTCCATAGTGTGATTATTATGGTCTGGCTAAGAGGACAGCTAGTGCTCCGGATACACTATATGGTCATAATGGCACATAACTTGGTCTTTGGATGCTACCAGATGTATTGTATGCAGAGGGAAAATACAGCGGAAAAGGGTGTGTGCTGGTAGGAACAGGCCGTATGAGGGAGATGGCACCACTTCTCCCCTTGGGGACTGCACTATAGCACTTCATATGTTACTCACACTGCGTGCATCCTCTGTGTCATCCATCACAAACCTAAAACTTGCATCGCTGGGAAAAGCAATGCACATTTTTCCATGTGGAAAATGCATGTGACACAAACACACACGCCTAAAGTATATATTTCTGTGTATTCATGCCTGCACTGTCTGTAACAATGCATTCTTACAATGGTGATAGAAAAAGAAAAGAAACCTGGTTTAGGTGCGAACAAATCCGTCACACCCTTTCGTCCCAATTACGACCGAGCTCCACACATGCAGGGATGGCACAAGAAATCAGATGTGACGGCCACTTAACCAATGATCTGCAGACTATTACTGCAGCATTTGGCTGTTTCAATTCGCCATAGGATTTAATTTGTTGAGAACGTTACTTACAGTCTCTCAGCTTGCGTTCACTTAGCTGTGCCTGTCAGATTTGGTTGGCCTTACATACATGTTGCTTTCACTTAAGTGATAGGAGCAAAACATCGTTTCCATGCAGCTCCAATGCTCTTCGCGTACATGTACTGTATCACAACAGAGTCAGGGCTATATTTTAATGGAGCAATCATAACAACCAGTGCGAGATGTCAGGTAATTTGGACAATGAGCACATATCAATTTATTTGGTTCAGTACGGGCAATTCATTTTATACCTTTTTAACAGCTCTGGCAATCGCCGGGGCAAGATGATACTAGCTACCCCAATTAGTCTGCTTCCTGGACAATATTGTTGTCCAGGAAGCAGAGAACAGCAAGGCACAAATGTAGCGAAGCAAATAGCACATACATGAAGTACTCAAAAGGACTGTCTGAGTTGTGGCCACTGCTAAAGGTGGACTCACAGACTGATATGTATGCCCAACTGACCTGTTGGGGAGCAGGCATTATGTGCCACCTGGGCTCTAAAAGACCACAGCCCAGTTTTCTCCATGAACCTGCTAATACACAGTGTTTCAGTGCCCAAGATAAACACTTCTGAACATTGTTTACTCATCTGCCCCTTCGAATGGTCTGAGACCGGAGCTTCTCTTCTTTCAAACAGTTTGTTTTCATGATGTAAAACTGTCCTTGAGGGACCAACAGAAGGTCCCTGTGTGGAGATACGGATCACAGCCGGAGGAGCCAGGAGAAAGAAAGAAGTGTTGTGTGGGTTGATGAGACAAAAAATAAAACATGTCACAAGGACTAATACTGTCTGGCTGAGAGACCGAGGGAGTCATAGATAGACTTTTGTGTTGGTGTGTATGGGAGCAAGCAGTGCAGTTTGGGAGATGTGGGTGCTTCCACAATGACTTGTCTGAGGAGACACAATATGAATAGGCTGAAGATTTTGTTTTAACTGAATAAAGGATAATCTCCACACCTACATTGACCCCAAAAGTCAAATTAACTTGGCTCTGCATGTGACACAGAGAGAGAGAGAGAGACTAGTGTATTTTTCAAACTTGTGTGCATGCATGTGCACACTACACTGGAGCATTATGTCTTCCTAGCCAGTAGAGGGATTAGAGTAGGAGAGACAATACCTTGACTTAGCTCCGTTTACTATTTACTGAGAGAGGAAACTGGCACGCTGACTGCTGTGGGAAGCACCGTCAACTGACTGCAGAACTGACAGCACAGTTCACGAGGAGAAAAAAAAACGAAGATAAAAGAACAGAATATTTATGCACCTTGACGGCGCCCTCCTCTTTCTCTTTGAAAAAAACAGAACAAGGAGAGAGAAGATGCAGTAAATAGGAGAGCACAGAAGAAGAAAAGTCTAAATGGACTGCTGAGGAGAATGGAAAAGCAAATAACCCCCCGCCTTCCAGTCAGGAACTTTGATGGGTTTTGTTTGTTTTCACGAGGGGCAGACAGTGTTTGACAGGCTCAAGGAGGTTTTCAGGGGACGGGCCACAGACATTTAAGAGTACTGAATTTGATCCGCAAGATTTAGAGCCGATGTGGTACGGATCCGGAATGTAGAAACCCACCAGAGCCATCCTGTTTTCCTTCTCTTTTCCTGTAGCTATGTTGATTCAATTACATTTTTTGTTTTGTTTTTATAAATAACATTGTATTGTGCGTCACTGGGACTTATCCTGAGTTACTGTAGGCTGTGTGTAGAACTTCCCCAGACAGCTATTTGAATCCATCATTTCTTCTACATTTAGACTTAACCTTCAAATGAACAGATTCAAATCTCAGTTTGTCACTGTATTGATGGATTTTTGTCTTCTTTCCATCTTTGTCATTAGTCCTTCCCTCCCATCATTCCCTTTCCCTCTCCACTATTCCTCACACCAGCGTGCTCCATTACTGCGGCCCTTCTCCCCTATGGCCCAATCAACACTGCTTTCACCGCCCGACTCCCCTCAGTTACCACTCAGCTTGTCATTCTCTTTCTCTGACTCACACATTGAGAAACCCAGCATGGGGGAGCTGGCTGACCCCCCAACACACAGAATCCTGAGGAAGGGAACGGTGCAAAGCAAGCCACTGTCCCAAATCCCAGGATACTGGGTAGCCAAGCTTCCCACAGCGAGATAGAACGCTTGGTGTGGCTTGGCTTCTCAGGCATGGCTGGAGTCAGCGCAAGACAGAGAGAGCTGGGGGGGTGGTGGGGAGTTTGAAGTGCATCCCAGGCTTGGCATGGGGGGGGGGGGGGGGGGGGGGG